CTCTCCCTCTCTCTCTCCTTCTGTCTGTCCCTCTCTGGTCAAATTAAATAAATAAATAAAGTTAAATAATTCTTTTAAAAAAAAAAAAATCCAGTCACTTTAATACCCTACTCTACTGCCAACATTCTGTGTTTACAAATCTTTCTGCAGAAAAGGATAATTTTTTATTATTAATTTTAATCATTCAAATCAATACATTGTAAAATCTGACAGAATTTTAAATCACTGTCTCAATCATGTATTTCCAAATATAAAGTGTTACATAAAAATAATAGATACTGGAACCAGCAGTTAGCGTAATGGCTGTGTTGCTGGACTCCCACGTAGTTGACCGCAGTTCGAGTCCTGGACCTGATGACTTAAATTCACACCAGGCGCCACGTGTGTGCGTGCCCAAGATCCCAAGAGGATAATGGAGAAGAAGGGATTGCAGCATGGCCATCTCCCTAGGGGGTGATTTCTCACTTTCTCTGTCTTTCTGGTGAGCATATGCGCCCTATAGCAAAAACCTCTCCAAAAAAATAAAAATAACAGATACTACATAGAAAAGTACGTAATGACACATATTAACAAAGATTAGACATATTTATAAAGACTGCCTGAGAATAGTTTTTCAGCATTCTTACTTATTTCAGAATATGAACACTTCCAAGGCCAGTAGGTGGCACAGTGGTTAAGGTGCTGGACTCCCACATGGTCAACTGCTGTTAAGAGTCCCAGACCCAGTGACTTGAAAATCACACCAGGTACGAGTGCAGGTGTGCCTAAAATCCTGAGAGCAAAATGCAGGACAAGGGCCTGCAGTGTGGCCATCCCCCCTGGGTGCATGATTTCCCACTTTCCCTCTTATTGTTTCTGTCTCTGTCTCTTTTTCTGCACATGTCCTATGGCAAAAAAAGAAAAAGAAAGAAGAGAAAAGAATATGAGCACTTCCTAGTAACAATTTTAAGACATTTATTTTCAATAAAAATAAAGAGACTCTGGTGTAATGTGTGAATTAGTTGTGAAATTCACGCTCAATGGATGAGTGAAGCAAAATATCCATGAATTTGAACATGTTTATTTATTTGTTATTATAATAAATGCAACTTGAAGTAAGCACTCCTTGATTTCACAATATACTGAAACTACTTTGATTTTTTTAATAGCCAGAGAACATGTGAACTGAGAGTGGAGGTTAGAAAGCACCTTCACATGGTCACACCACAATCCCTTCCCCTTTCTCCATCCTGTCTTGATTTGGGATAGGCACACACATCTCTGGCATGATTTTCAAGTCCCTGGGGCCAGGATTTGAACTGCAGTCAGTCATGTGGGATCTGATTCTCTAAACCAATAGGCTACAGCATTAGCTCCCATCATAACTTTCAACATATCTCAGAGTCTCTTTTTCACAAAATAGATAGTAAAAGCTTAGGGCCAGCAGGTAACGTGAGGGTAAAGGCAGCTGGATCCCCACAACTGATGACTGTGAAGTTCAAGTACCAGACTGAGTATGGCTTAAAAATCACACTGAGTAAATGCACATGCATGCCCAAAATCCCAAGAGAAGAGAGGAGGAGAGGGGATTGCAGTGAGGCTATCTCCCTGGGGAGTGACTCTTTCTCTCTTGTCTCTCTGGAGAACATACATGCCATACAGCAAAACTTAAGAAAACAGAACGAAACAAAATGTAAAGAAAAGTAGTGAATAATATTAAAGGAAATGAGCCAGCACCATAGGATAGCCAACGTTGGTTTGAATACCAGTCCAGTGGTTTAAATAAACAATGCATCAGGCACATTTGTATGCATGCCCAAAATCCTGTCAGGATGGAGAGGTGTAGGAAAAAAAGAGTGCAAGCTAACTGCGCTGCTGGAAACTGCTTACTTACTTTCTGTCTGTCTGTCTGTCACTCTCTCTCTCTTTCTCTCTCTCTAGCAAATACTCTCAAATTCAAACTCCCCCTGCCCCAAATTAAAAGAATCTGACATTCAAACTCCCCCTGCCCCAAATTAAAAGAACCAATATTAAATAAAGATACATATGATAGGGAATCAGTTTAACTTCCATGTAATGTCTTATATTTTTTATTTTTTAAATAGTTAAAGGAGATATTCTTTGGCACATAAGAGATAACCCTTAAAAAAAAAACTAAAAATTTTAATAAAGCTTAAATATCTTAAATATTAGAGAATTAAATATAATACAGTTCAAAAGTTAATGATATATTTTAAAGCTAACACCTAATTGCCAATACACTAGTTTAAAATAGTAAAGAAAAAAGATTTTTGCGGTATTAAAAGGAAGCACATTTTAAATTCAGAATGGTTTGAGATGAAAGGTGGATATTTCTATTATTTAAAAAATGTGTGGGAACCAGCAGTTAGCGTAATGGCTATGTCGCTGGACTCCCACATAGTCGACCACGGTTCGCGTCCCAGACCTGGTGGCTTAAAACTCATGCCGG